AGGAGGTAGGGAGAGAAGGAGGAGGGGAAGATGGAGAAAGGAGGGGAGGGGAGTGGGAATATTGTCTCTGCGTATGTGGCATGGGATAGCACTTTTTCCTTTCTAAAGTGTAATTGCATAAGCCCTAAAGCCACATTCTATGTTTAAAAGGTATGTGACTCAAGTAGTATTTGATTCAACGAAAATTCAGTGGTGAAACTGCTCTATGGACAAGAAGATGTCTCCATTTGATTTACCTGTCAGTTAACAATTATTCCGTTTTTGGTTTCACTGTGTAAGTTTGGGAACTAAGGCCTGTTATTTGATAGTTTTACCTTCCTATTCACTTATTTGGGTCGGAGTTAATATTTTTTTCTTTTACCCGACTACTTAATTAAGTCTACCCCAATAGTAATAAATTTGGTAAAATTAGAATTTATTCATTTTGGGAAATTTAAAGCTGGATTCTTGATGGTTATCATAGAAATAGGTAGTTTGGACGCGTAATAATGGACCAGTAAAATAGGTTTACTACGAACCTAAAACTGGTTACTTGACAGTTGATCTGGATAATCAATCCTCCCATCGGTCAACCACGATTACTATCAGTCATTGATGCACACGAAGTGGGGACTACTTTTTGGCCTCCTGGCATCACAGAGTCGTGAGCGCGAGTGTGGAGACCAGCACCTACAAGGAGGGGTTGTGAATGCCAACTTCACGGTGAGGTCAGCGGGGACTGTGGCTTTGTGTTTACGCAACAGAGCCCGCTGTGGGGGAACAATTGTTTATGCCTCTCGCTGAGGCCGCCCACACCGTCATCACATCCTGCTGACGCAACGCACACTGCCGACAAATGTAGACTAATCCTGCCTTTTACATTCGTTCGTACAAAAGGTCATATCTGATTATTTTACCCCTGCCATTTATGAATAATTCAGTCCAAATCACTGATCTATCTTCATCTAAGTCAAAGAAGAAAAAATATCTCACTTTAAATCACAGTCCTAAAAAAAGACACGAGGTTGAAGGGATTTCGGTTTCGCTATGGTTTAGCATTTGACATTCTGCATTACCGGTGCGGTAATCATCTCGAAACTCAACCTAATTGTCTGCTAGTGGAATATTTGGTAATGGAAAAGATATCTTAAATCCGGATATTTCAATTTTGAAAGTCAGCCTTGTTTATTATTTTCGCTATTAGTTACAAGATCAGTAGATCAAAGTAAAATTAATTTCTACGTTTGCCTTTTCTTATTAGTTTTATCAAATGTAGTGGCTTCCGTTGTTCAGGTAGGTGAAGCACTGATGGTATTGAATACATCAGTGAAGATACTTCTAAGGAAAATTTGTTTGTTGACATTAGAAGGAGGAATCCTTTTTAAAAGTGCAGTTTTCTTTAAAAGTCGAAACCGCATTTTAAATAATTCATTGGGGCCTCAATCAGCCGCATCATCGTGAAGGCATGCCGTCAAAACCTCGGTATTTTATCTCGTGATTTAAAAGTTGATAGTCAAATTGGGTGGCCGAAAAGCATTTTTAGTCACATGTTCTTGCATAATTTAAAAGTGGAATACCTTTTCTACTTTTATCTCCCTCCAAAATGCTCCGAAGAGATCTGCTTGCATAGGACGCATAACATGAGCTAGAGACTGGTGAATCTTTTTACTTCTCTCAACACATAAACGGGTACCATATTCTAACTAGTCTCCAAAAAATTCAAAAAATAATAGCGCCTTAGGAACAAATACTCAAAATTCGGCTCCAAATATCTCTAAAATACTACTCTCTAAAAAAGAGAATGGTTATACCTCCTATTTTCGTACCTAATAGTTGATTATGTATTGTAAACTAATTATTTAACACTTTTGTCCAATTCGGTAAAGCTTATCATCAACTTCAACTACGTGTCTGCGTCAAACATGAATTGACAGGAGATTTCAGCGAGGTACAGTTTACAGCAGTCCTTTAGGTTTGAGCTTTAGCTAGTCACACAGATATATTTCATTAAACGAAGAATTTGTTTCAAGAGCCTTACCCCACAGCGTTTAATTGTGCATCTCCCCGTAAAACATAAGTGCACCAGCGTTGGGTATGCCTGGGCCTTGTATTTAGGCTAGTAGTTAACAGGATGAGGCACCACCCAACCGCGTCTCCACTCGGTGATTTAGATGAGCGTTAGAGGCGTGATCATGCAGACAGTGTGGTAAAAACACCTCGATGGTGGTGGTGGTGGTGACGGCGGTGGCAGTGGCAGTGGTGCTGTTAGCCACGAGGTAACCTTGGTTGCATGCGTACGTGCGTGTGTGCGCGAGTGCGTGCGTGCTTGCACGCTCACGATCGAGGCTTTTCCAAGGCCGTGATGAAAGTCTGCTGCTGCTGCTGCTACTACTACTGCTTCTCCTATTGTTTCCAGGTTGTTATTGTTGTCGTCGTTGCCTGTGTGCATGCGTGTAGTTATGCTAATTGGTGGGCACTCCCAAGCCCTCGACACTCCAGCGTCCACGCCACCCTGCACTAAGCTCGTTTTCGCGTACGCCTAATGCGAATTTGGTGGTGATAACTGCCCTTTCCCCCGTCTTCCCTCCCTACTTCGGACGGTTCTTGTACTATCGCACAATTTTTTTGCATGATTTAGGCATAAAATTTTAGGGGCTTGGTAGCAAATGGCATCAAGTGCTTCTTTTTCAAGAAAAGGATTCCCACGATGCCAAGATAAAGAAGAGAGCGACAAGTCTTCCAAAGATTATTTACCGACTAATTAACGCGATCAAGGCCATTTATCTTGTCACATTAAACCTCTCAAGTCTTGAGATGACTGCATCTCCCTTACTCTTATCTGCTTAGCTAATGAGTAGTGTGGATTAAGGACGCCTGACATAATGGACCTATTCAAAGCACCGGCTAACATACTCCATTACAAATACTTCGCGCCTCCGAGTTTCGAGGGCTCCTCTGTACCATTGCATTAAGGTTTTCTACAGCAAAACTTATTTAAAGAAAGATGGATTAGTGGATTACAAATTGGTTTACAGACTAATCAGTAGTCTGATACATAACCTCAAACTTGTTCTTTCATTAATGAGGAAAGTTGGTTATAGTTGTTAATACCAATGAATGCCAATGTGAAATTGCAGAGGCTCCTTCCCTAATTACACAAAATATATCATTCCCAATTATCCAGATCCAATTTATATAAAAGGGCGACTAGTTAAGACTTATATCTCAAATTCGCCCATTTTGCCATATCTAGGGCTCTAAAACTCACCTTTCCTATTCATTCCTCCTCAGCATTCTTCAGTGAGAAGATAGCCTCGCTAGATTTGAACAGG